TCTGTGAATATACAGAAATATACTGCTAGGATGAAAATAAGTCCATTATACAACTTTAACTTTGTAGCTGTTTATCAGAAATCTGTACATGGCTATTATGCTTTAGTATGAATGAATATTTAAAACATCATGAGATTACCTCCTAAACAAGACAAATAGGTTGCATTATATATTTTGGATTACATTAAAAAGCATTGATTTGTTAAGTATAAGCATTATACACACACACACACATATATATATATACCAGATATCCTAAAACTTATATTGAGAGGCACAGTAACTAGAATATCTAAAACAGTTCTGAAAATAAAAAAATAAAAGGGGAAGAATCAGTCTACACAATTCTAAGACTCACTGTATAGCTACAGTCAAAGGCAAAGGCTACAGTCACAGGCAAAGGAGAGACACTCGGGCCACGAGACAGGACAGAGCGCCCAAACACAGACCCACGCAGGAGCAGACAATTTTTTGCAGAGGTGAAAAGCAATTCAGTGAAGGGCAATTTTTTTTAAACAAATGATAGGGAAAAAATGAATCTTGGCTTAAATCTCACACTGTACTCAACTATTAACTCAAAATGAATAATGAATTTAAATGTAAAATATAAAACTATAAAACCTTTAGAAGAAAATATTGAGGGCCTAGGGCTTAGGGAAAAAAATCTTAGATATGATATCAAAAGTACAATCCAAAAAAATAAATTTCATCAAAGTTAAAAACCTTTGCTCTGTGAAAGACACTTTAAAGATGATGAGAAAACAAGCTACAGACTGGGGAAAAATAGTTGAAAACCGTATATCTTCCAAATGACTCACATCTAGCATACATAAAAAATTAAAAGCACTCAACAGTTAAAAAACAAACAATCCAATTAGAAAATGAAATCAGACATCCAGAGACTTTTTACCAAACAAAACATACAGGTAGCAAATGAGCAAAGGAAGAGGTCAGACTATTGACAGATGCCAACTTAGATGGATCTCAAGGGCATTATACTAAGTGACCAAAAAAAAAAAGCCAAGAAAATTTATATTTTGTGGGGTTTTATTTATATAACATTTTCAAAATGACAAAATTATAAAGTTAGACAACAGGTTGATGGTGTCCAGGGACCAGGGGAGGCAGAGGACAGGAGCGGGGCATCACCAGGAAGGGGTGCTGCTGGGAAGGTTCTGGCCCGGACTGCGGCAGTGGGTAGAGGCAACTACACTCAGAATAATATGACATAGAACTAGGCATACACTTTACACCCATGTCGTTTCCCGGTTTTGCTATTGTACCATAGGTATGTAAAGTGTAACCATTGCAGGTGTTAACCAATAAAGATCCGAGTATGTAAAAGAATTTAAGAGCTTATTTGGAGTTTTAAAAGATTCGAACCCCTGGGACACAGACTCAGGTAGCAACAACCCAAGCTGCCCTCCAGAGAGAACAAAGGCAGAGTTTGTAAAGGCGTATTACCATAAGGTGTAATTCTTTCATGTAAATGAAAGACTGCTGGCTAGGTTAGCAGAGATGGTTAGATATGCAAACCAGGGGGTAAAGCCACAAGGAGAAGGTCAAGTCCTTATGTGCCCACAGAGCAGTTGTTGTTCCAGGATGTTTGTGAGTCATCTTTGACGTGAGTTTAGCAACAAGTTTAGCAACTGGGCACAACTGAGAACTGATTCATAACATCTGCACAGGCCTCACTTCCTTGGTAGTCTCCTGACTCTGTTTTACATGAAGTGACTGTCGTAGCAATGCTTACTCCATTTTATTTTTTTCCATTATCAGAGGAAGTGGAGAAAGAAGGCTGCACAGGGGCCTCGTACTATCTTTACAACTTTCTATGAGTCTGTAATTGTTTCAGATGGAAAGATTTTTTGTTGATATCACTGATTTGTTAAGCATAAGCGTTTAACAGATGCAATTTTTGTAATCCTATTTGGACATTCCCATGGTTTTATTATACTAAAATCTTCTGAAGCTGGAAGTGGCCTGGCCTCTGGGAGGTGAGAGAAGCTAACACACATACACACCAGACTGACTCCAGCATCCTCATGGGATGCCAAGTTAGGAACATCTAAGAAGAATCCTGCCTTAGCTTCCCAAAACCCAGGATAGGATCTGCAGATGGAGGGAGACGATAAACAAGACTCTACTTTCTCAGCACCTGGCCCCTCATATCTCACACCTATGCACGCACACACATACATGCATCTCAGTGGTGCCTGCTACCGTGGCTTTGGCAGCCATCTTGGCTCTCTCTGCATTTGCGTCATTGGTTGCCAGTCTCTAATCTCTACAAATATCTTGTGGGATCACATTACCTGCCTGGCTCTCTTGTCATGAAGACTGTCTGAGAACTGCTTCCATAGGAAGCAAACCCAGTCCTGGAGATTTTCCAAACCAGGAGATATTCTTGTTGCATTTCCTGTTATGTAACTGAGGCTTAGAAAGAGGTCAAGGAGAGAGAGGAGACCACTATGTTGTAACTATTTTAATCCATCTTTCTCTTAATGACTCTGCTTCCTGTTCACCACCTCTCCCATTTTCTTTATTCCTTCCATCCTACATTTAAGAGTAAATCAGGACTAGGAAACTTTTAAAAAAGTTTTTAAGCAAGAAACCCTTCTACCTCCATAATTTCATGTTTACACACGAGGTATTTTCAGTTACAAACAGTGTGCAATGGGTGTGACTTCCTCCTTTACGTAGCACTTATTGTAAAATGACCTCTCGTGGTTGAGAGTGCGCATACCTCTCATTTTTACATACTCCTGTTATTAGGATATTTCCCCAAGAGTTAGAAATTAGATTCTTCCCAATAAGTAACTAACTTTTTGTGTTTTACATGTTATTTCATCATTTCAGTTATGGTAATCTTAGGTCTAATCATTTTTCTTTTTTCATAAAAAATAGTCAAAATGTTGTATTTTCCTGGGTTGATTAGCAAGCAGAGCTGCAACAAAGGCTTGTGTGCAGATAGTTGATTAGGGAAGTGACTCAGGGAGTGGGAGTGAGGGGCCAGGAGCACAAACCAGGGGAGGTGGGAAAGGCAGGGAGAGGGTGTCAGGCTGGCCACTGGTGCAGGTACAGCAGTGGTGCTCTGACCCAGTGGGACTCCCCGAGGAGCCTTGTTATATTCGTCAGAACTGGGTGCCAGAAGATGAAAGGGAGCCACTGATCTGTGGAGTCCTGATCCCGCTGGTCTATGGGTGCCCCCGGGTTGGACACGTCTGAGTGCTGCACAGGTACAGGTGCCAGAAGAGCCCCAGGACAAGATCAAGAGGTAGAAGGTGGGGCAGCCCAAAGTGAGCCTCTGTTAGGCACTGGAAGCTAGGCAGCACCCAGTGACTGCCCAGGACTGCAAACAGAACTGGGAGGACTTGAGGTGGAACTAAAGATGTGGTCAACACAATTGTCAACCTAAGAAATTCTGCAACTTGATCACGAGTAACTCACTGCCCAGTGGAATAACTGTATTTCACTTTGTTGTCAGCCAGTGATATTTAACATCTCCTTCCTGGTTTTGAGTCTTTAATTTTCCCAGTGATGTCTCTGAAGGGTAAGGAGTGAAAATAAATTCTAATGGTGGGGATAACAGCCCACGTATGTTACATTGGATTGCCAAGCCGCATTTTAAGAGAGAAATATTAAAACAAAATGTGGAAGAATTATGAGAGAAATTCACACTTGAGCTGTTTTCACAGCTACATTTTGATAAATTCATATGCTCTAAAGCCATGTCATATAGGATTTTCTTTACAAGAAATAAGTGAGTAGAGCAGAAATTTCATAAGAATCAGTGCATGCTGTTTCAGACAAACTTTATATATTTCCAATAAAAGCAGTTAGAGAAGCATAATTAAACTTTAATTTATGGAAGGTATATAGAGATTATATTAAATTATAATTAATAGATTGGTATTAGGTACTAATAGATTGTTAAGTAATCTATTCATAGCCAATTTGCTGTGTCTCAAAAACTGTTTTAAGATACACTAATTCATCTGACCCGCCTGATGTCTCCAGAGTAGGTACTATTGATCTCTCAATTGTAAAATGACAACACCGAGCCCTGGCTGGGGGCTCAGTTGGCTGGAGCATTGTCCCGTACTTACACCAACAGGTTACAAGTTTGATTCCAGTCAGGGAGCAAACAGGAGGCAACCATTCAACCTTTCTCCCTCATATCGATGTGTCTGTCTCTCTGTCTCTCTGTCTCTCCCACCTCTCCCTCTCCATCTCTGTCTCCCTTTCCCTCCCTCCCTCCCTCTTTCTCTCAAATCAATGAAAACATATCGTTGGGTGAAGATTTAAAAAAGAAGATGAAGATGCCAAGACACAAAGAGTCTGAGTAACTTACTCAAGGGCACACTGCTGGTCGTAGGTAAAACAATAAAAATAGCATGGTGTAGTCAGTATCTTTGCTTAAAAAAAAGTTCATGGCGGGTTAGAGTAAATGAATGTGGTAGCTAAATACTCAACACAGAGTCCAGAATCACTCTCTTTGCAGTGATCAAGATGATCCAAGTGAGAACATGACAATATACCCAGTGCCTGTCTCACTACAGGACACCAGCAATTCGATCAAATCTGTATTTTGCTTGCAAATGTTCATCCCAGCATAAGAGAGAGAAAAATAACATATTAGGATAAAAGAACAGAAAAGCAAGGAGAAAGCCAGGCAGACTGAAAAATTTTGGAACTGTAAGCGTTAGATAAATGTAATATCATTGCAAAACATGTGCATAGTTTAAAATATCCACCAGTGTTTTGGTTTTCTCAGTGCATCTCTTTATCCAACAGACATTTTTTATCAATGATTTTGTTAAATAAGATACAGGAAAATATGTATGGCAATTTTTAGTCTTTCCTAATTTTGTGGGGAATTCATGAGAAGTTTAGAATAACATCAGCCAACCACTGTTTCCTGGAGATAATTCTTCTTAATTGTTCCATGCCCAGAGCATTCATATCTTGTTTGTATTTGTTTTATCATTATCTTTCAGCCATGGAGAAAACTTCTACAGATACACTTCCTCTTACTATGATTTCTTCAGAAGAGCGGGAAACTATATGTATTTTTGGAACTGGAGATTTGGGAAGATCGCTGGGACTGAGAATGCTCCAGTGTGGTTATTCTATTGTTTTTGGGAGTCGAACCCCCAAGATGTCCAGTCTGCTGCCCAGCGGCGCAGAAGTCTTGAGCTATTCAGAAGCAGCTCAAAAATCTGACACCATAATCATGGCTATCCACAGGGAACATTATGATTTCCTCACAGCACTGACTGAGGTTCTCCAAGGGAAAATATTGGTCGATGTCAGCAACAACCTCAAGGTCAATCAATACCCAGAATCCAATGCAGAGTACCTCGCTCAGCTGGTGCCGGGAGCCCGTGTAGTGAAGGCATTCAACACCCTCTCCGCCTGGGCTCTCCAGTCAGGGGCACTGGATGCAAGTCGGCAGGTAAGATTAAACGGTAAATTTACTTCATGCTCAGTCTTTAAAAAGTGAATGTTTAAATCTGCCCTCACCTCAAAGGTTCCAAAATATACCTCCAAAAGAAAACACCCACTAAATATTCCACCCCGCTAATATGTGCCATGACTAGTTTTCTTGGGTTGAACCATGTGTGGGTTGGTCAATTGTGCTTTATTTCCCACTGTGTGCAAAGCTCTTGGCTTGATGGACCCCCGTGGTGTAAGTCTCCGAGGGGTCCTCTTGCTAGTACTAGAAAATCACACACCTAAACTCTTTGCTGGGTATCCTTTCCACCCTCCATCACCTTGTGTAAAAGTAGCTCCCTTTCCTCCAGGAGGTTTGGAGCAGTCCCAGTGCTGGGGCACCAGGGTCACAGGAGAGACACCAAGCTGCTCCCACGTGGAAGACAGAGTCCTACCCTGTCAGTGTGATGGCCCGAAACCACACTCAGCTTGAGCCCTGGCACTGAACTACCCAACACCCATGTGCAGGTTCAAAACATCATCTCACTAAACATGTGCACGCAACAGCCTTGTTTGAAAAGCAGTTCAGTACTACATGTCCTCATTCTAAGCAGTACTTGTATAGACTTTTCAAAATAATTATGGAAGGAAAAATAAATACAAAATATTTTTAACCCAGGTGTTTGTCTGCGGAAATGATAGCAAAGCCAAGCAGAAAGTGATGGACATAGCTCAGACTCTTGGGCTGACTCCGCTGGATCAAGGTGCTCTCAGGGCCGCCAAGGAAATCGAGAACTACCCCCTGCAACTGTTTCCAATGTGGAAGGTCCCCTTCTACTTGTCTGCTTGTCTGTGTGTCTTCTTTTTTGTTTACTGTGTTATCAGAGAAGTAATCTACTCGTATGTTAAAGAGAAGAAAGACATCACATTTCGCATAGCCGTTTCCATTCCAAATCGCGTCTTTCCAATAGTGGCGCTGATACTGCTTGCGGTGGTTTACCTCCCTGGTGTGATTGCTGCCATTCTGCAGCTGTACCGAGGAACCAAATACCGCCGATTCCCAGACTGGCTGGACCACTGGATGCTCTGCAGAAAGCAGCTTGGCTTGCTCGGACTGGGATTTGCCTTCCTCCACGTCCTCTACACACTCGTGATTCCTATCCGTTACTACGTCCGATGGAGGATAGGAAACGTAACTGCTACCCAGGTCAATCTCTGCTCATTTGTACTCTCCTAGTCCTTAAGTCAAAGTAAAAACTTGCAATATGATATTCTCTTTTACAATTAGAGAAAACCAGTCTGCTAAGTATCTTTATTGTTTACAGTAACTAGAATTAGACCCTATGTCTGTTTTTGGTTTTGCTTTTTGAATGAATCATTGAGAAAGGATTTCTCTGACTTGAGAAAGAAAGTCAGATTGCCAGTTCCCTTGAGTCCAGGTCTGTGTTGCCACAGATCTGGGGTCCTGACAGACCAACAGAGCTGAGGGCTCAGGAAGCCTAGTGACACGTAGCTAAGTTCCTTTGCACATGTTTAACGAATGTAAACTGACGCATTCTCAAGCTTCGGTTTTTATGCCTGACAGTTGCTCTCGGAAGTTGACACCTAACCATCTTGGAAGTAAGGGAGCTGTTCCAGCAGGTGTCACAAGAATATAAACAAAGTTACGAAACAGTGCTTATAATTTCATTAATTTTGGGGCTTGTGGGATTGTCCTCAGTTGTTCAGTTTCCTAAGCAAATGGCAAATACTCTTTTCTGTATAACCAAAAAATTCAGAAAGAATGAACTCAAGGAGTCTAAAAGCAGTCCCAGGGGAAGTGCAACTCATCAGCTCTCCTCAGGAAATAAATGGTTTTGGCCAATCTTACTTCAGTGTCAAAATTTATGTATTCATCAATAACTCATTGATGGTGCTTCCTTAGGTTTCCCTACATTATTTCCCTAACAAATGCGTGGGAAATTTGGGGGTGAGAATCACATTAAAGGGGCCTGATTTCTCTCCACCTATGATGTGATGAACTCAATGCTGATTTACACAGAACAGACAAGAAAGAACCCCAACTTTTTGTGTGACTAATCGGCATATAAAGCAGAAAAACAGAATCTTGATGTAATCGTTTGAGAGCATCAAGTTTTGCTTGGAGAACAAGAAACCATATGGTAAAGATGGTTTAAGTAAATGTTTACCTTATTTAGGATTTATAGGGTTAATTAAAACTCTCTATACAACTCCTGGCATCAACTATCATAATGAACTTCCAGCAAAACCATTACTTTTTCTACCCCCCCAAAATAATTTCTAAGTGTTTTTTTATTTACAATTATTTTCAAATGATTATTAACAAATATCATATAATTTACCTTGAATAAATAAACCATGCAGAGGTATTTTCAATCCCCTTGAAAGTTTGGGCAGTTTACTTAAAGATTGAATTTTTTTAAATTTCTTATAATTTTTCATAGGCAATAACCAAGAAAGAAAATCCATTTAGCACCTCTTCTGCCTGGCTTAATGATTCATACATATCTTTGGGAATCCTCGGATTTTTCTTCTTTGTCCTCTTGGGGATCACTTCCTTGCCATCAGTTAGCAACATGGTCAACTGGAGAGAGTTCCGATTTGTCCAGGTAAGGACCTCAAGATTTAATCTACTTTAATTTGCAAAATGAGTGTTTCTTTTCAAACATCCTCATTTTTCTTTCATACCATGCATGAATTTTCATTTTGCTCCATCACTTCCCTAGCAATCTCATAAAAGTAGCAATTGAAACAAGTTCAAATTAGAAAATGTTAAACATTGGTAACAAAAGGCAGATTCCATAATGGTTTGGTTCCTCCCAGGGCATTCAAGATTCCTGGCTCCCAGAGCCACAGCTACAAGTACAGAGTGAAAAACACCAACAACTATTACATTTTATGGAGATGTACTCGGTGCGAGGTGAAAGGAAACCCAAAGATAAAGTTTCTACTTCCAAAAGTCAACCATAGGGAGGGGACACATTGATTTATAAAGCAATGTACTAAAAGGGTCCGAAGCCTCACCAACACAATGTGCTGGACTGTCACTGCACGAGACTCAAGGCTGGTCTGTGGCAGGGAAAAGCTGTTTTTTCACACATCCACCAGGCACCTCATTAAAGGGGATTTTTAGCTATTCTCTAAAAAATTTTTAATTGATTAATTTTGGAGAAATAAATTTGTTGCACTTACTTAAGCATTCATTCATTGATTCTTCTATGTGCCCTGACTAGGGATCAAACCCACAACCTGCATGTGGACAGCACTCTAACCAACTGAGCTACCCGGCCAGGGCCTGAACTATTCTTATAAACCAGTGTGGGGCCTGGTTTATAAGTGTGGGACCTGGACCAGTGGCATTAGCACCAGCTGCAGTCTTGTTAGATACACAAACCCCAAGGCCTTCGCAGACCTGATGAATCAGAAACTCCACACATGACCCAGCAGTGTGTTCTAACAGATAATCCGGATGCATGCTCATTGTGCATCAGTGTAATGGAATAGACCATGAGTAACTGATATTTGGTTTGAGTTTCATAGAACAATTCGAATTTCATAAGTCTTAACACTTCTTCCAGGGACAAATGCAGTCCACAGTGTCTCATGTCAACACCTCTCTTCAAGGTATTAAGATAGAAATAAACATTGAGCTTTAGTATTTAGGCCAGAACAGACAAGAATAAAGTTTACTAACTTCTCTTTATCATGATAGAAATTAGCTTAGTATCTGGTTTTAGTCAGTAACGTATATTACTGGGGAACATAGGGTGTCTTATTAACCTCTGACCTCCAAAAAAGGTAATCAAGGAACAAGTTTTACCACTGAAGAAGGAAGCAAGGCACCTTATTTATTCAAACTCAAAAGAGTGGACTCTGGGAAACTTTCCCATTCAGCCAGGTTAAGGTGAAACCACAATGCCATTTGTAAGCACAATTTATTTTGTTTTTAATAAAATATTTATCATCCTGAACGAGGGTTGATGCTTTTTTCAGTACTTAGTAAACTGTTCTAAATAAGATCGTTTTCAAAGGTTTGTTGTTGACAAGTATTCTTCATTGGCTTACAGTGTTTTGCTTTAAAATGTAAACAGTGTTAATGTGCGTATTTTTGTTTCTTGCTTTTATAGTCCAAACTGGGTTACCTGACCCTGATCTTGTGCACCGCTCATACCTTGATATATGGTGGAAAGAAATTCCTCAGTCCTTCGAGTTTCAGGTGGTGTCTTCCTTCAACTCACATAATAGCACTCATCATTCCTTGCACCGTGCTGGTCATCAAGTTCATCCTCATCCTGCCATGTATAGACAAGATCCTCACACGGATCCGACAGGGATGGGAAAGGAGCTCGAAATTCTCAGAATCGGCAATGAATGGAAAAACAGATATTTAAAGCAATGTTCAATTCTCCCAGAGTCTTTAGAGATGAACAATGCGTTTAGCCAAGAAGGCGTTTTTCTCCCAGCATGGCCCGAAGTTTGTGAACAGCAAAGGAAATGTTGCCTGACTTTGGGAACTTGAGAGATTGGAAGAGAACAGCATTTTACCTTGGGTTAGTGATGAATGCTGGCAGGCCCCACCCAGAGCTCCAGATTAGCTTTGTGGCTTCACACTCAGAAGCTGCTCATTGTGGGCACCATGCCTAACCTAATGTCTTGCAAATTCCAGGGGAAGTACATGCAACTTCCTTCTCTGGTTCACAGGCTGAGTGGAGTGAAAGAGAAAACAGTAAAATGGCAGCCACTGATAAAGGCTTTCGTAGGTAGGACTGAAGAGGAAGGGCAAATGACGTGAATGGAAAGAGGGTTTTATGGTTGTTTTTTGGACATGAAGGTGATTATAAATATTGCAATAGCGAATTCTGTAGTTAAATATGCTCTTTGATTTTGCTTTTACCAATATTGATATGTATAGTGGGGAACTATTATATAACATAACAAAAATATACTACAGTTGATTGGAAGTATGGGCCAGATATATATAAATCTATACATATACGTTGTCCAAAGATCCCTCCTCTTCAAGAAAGGCTGAGTTAAAAATCAAAGGATACCCACTTGGGTTTTCTCAATACACAGTGATCAAGAAAAGGTTTATAAAAGCCTGTGCACAAAAGTTCAAATAAAACAGGATTGTAAATAGCAAGCTAAATAAATGTTATAAAGTTACATTAGATTAGGTTTGGTTTTATTTAGGTATTGTGGTATGCTTTGTAAACAATGTATTCCAAATATTATTCATTACTAATTCCCTATGAAATGAATTTCTAGCATAAGAAAAGTAGCTTCTACAATTTGTCTTAGTTCATTATCATTTTAAGCAGTGAAATTAAATGCATAATGAATGTGTAAGTGTGACAGAGTCACGAGTTAAAGAGAATTGTGGGAAGTCTTAGGGCAGACAGGTGAGAACCGTGGGTGCTCCCTGACACCCAGTTCTTCCTCACACCCTCACCGCAGCACAGACAACTCTCTGCTTTTCCCTGAGGACCACTCCATCTCCAAGATCACCTTCACCAGGATCGGCCTTCCTGGCTCCCCCATGGAACCAAAAGCAGCCTTCTGCACGATCTTCTCACATCCTGAAAGAACAAAAAGGCTTTAGGTTTGACATCTCTCACCTGCTTTATCAAGACCATTTGTTTTTTACAAGACTCATTTTTAATTACTTTTATCATATATTCTACATGACAGTATACAAAATAATTAAAATGCATTAAAACATCACTCATAATCTAGGATATTTTTATATAAAAATTTTGAAAATATTTCTACCTATACTGTATACTCAACTTTATATGTTTTTTCACTTAATATATCAGGAGAAGATAGACAGAATATGCAATCCATCACTGTATCCTTGACCCACCCAGCAAGGACACAGACCACCGGAAGGTTTTGAGCAGAGCCACAGGTTGCGGTGCCGGCCCTGGAGCGTGACTGGGAAGGACAGGGAAAATGTCAGTACCCATCCGCTCTATTTTATTCCAGACAGCCAAGTGTTTAAGCGTTGGAGCCTGCCCTTTGGCTAGCAGATTGGTTAAGGACTATCTAGGCTGATATATATATATATATATATATATATATATATATATATATATATCCAAATGATATATATATTGACCCAAATGGCTTAAAATATATATATATATACATTATATATTATATATGCTATATAAATATATATATTTTTAAGCCATTTGGGTCAACTATGCTCCTTTTTAGTAGCACAGTAATATGTTTTTTCACAATTTTTTACTAAAAATAGAAAATACTAGGTGACCAAGCTTTCCTGGAGTAAAACGGACTCTACTTTTCTAACCTAGCAAAAATGCTCTACCTGGATACTTAATAAAAGCTTTCCATGAAGCTAGAAGTTAGAGAGAGGCCCCCTGGTGGTTTTGACATAACACTACATGGCCAGGCCCGACCCTCAGCCTCAACCTCAAGCACTACAAACCCCACACCCTGAGCAGAAAGGCCAGTTTCCTTTTCTTCTCTCCCCAACTTTCTTCCCTCCAAACCATCAACCCAGTTTGGCCATCCTAACATAGCCATTCCTCTGGTTTACTTAAGGAGGAAAGGATGAGTTAGGAAGAGATGGAAATGGTGAGCTGTATTCCTTTTAACACATCCAAATTGTTCCACAGTTTAAAAAATTAGACTAAACTTTTTCACTACTGGCGTGTTTCTTGTATTCTGGGAAAAGTTTTATTAAGCTCATAGACCTTTTATTTTTATATGTTTTCCACATTGTAAAAGATGCCTGCTTTTGTCCATGTGTACTCATTAAATATTATTTTAGAAATATTTCGTAGCTTTGTTTAATTCTGGTTTAACTCATCAGCAGTTCAAAGAAAGTAATAAAAAGATGTTGAATCACAGTAGTTCCAGCAATTGGAACTAAAAATACCTTCCTTTAGAAATGAGGAAAAGGAGAGGCCCTTACACGGGTTTTACAGCACATTAACAGATTTCCAGCGTCATTCAATGTTTGCTTGAGCTCACAGCAGAGATGCATTCCAATATCCTGCATGTTCAGCTGGCCAAGCCCATGGGTGTGAATACACTACCTTTCACTGGACGTTTCTTCTCCTGGGTGGCTGCTGTCCAGATCAGATAGGGCCACTGTCTTCATGAGTGGACGGACTTCAGGTTGAATTTCGGTCTGAGGAACCAGGCATTAAACTCCCACCCAACCAGACCGCTGCAGCCCTAATGGGTGTTATCAGTCCTTCAAAAGCAAAATAAAAACTGATAGAGGTTTGTCAACCCAGTGTCAGCTACAAGTGACTAGAAAAACCCCTATTTAAAAGCTACTTCAGTTAGGAATGGCAAGCGTTTATTGTCTGGGATCATAGAAGAGCCACAATACTGATGCAGGGACCCCTCCCCAGATCAGGGCGGAATGGCAAACAGGGCTCAGGATTCTCCTTCTGCATCACCACAACTGGCACCCCTCCCAGCACCCGTCCAATACACACAGTCCAAAGATATCCTAGTACGAGCCTGCTCTGACTTCCTACAAGGAGTTAGGATGGCCACACAGAAAAGGCCTCTGCTCTTCTAAAGATTTTTAGTAAAATTTAAGAAAGAGAACAAGTCATTTTCCTACGCAATACCATTCCTGAGGCTCACGGCGAAGACCTAAGCTCTCAGATGAGAGGAAGTAAGAAAAAGGCCCAAATGAGAGAGGAGAAGGCTCAAGGGTACAGGAGAAAGGAATGGGAAGCATGGACGAGCGGGAAGTGCACCCCCAGCCCAGCCCAGCTCAGCCAGGACAAAGGCCCCCGATGCTACATGTTTCCTGCTACAGGGGAATCTGGGAGGCATTTAAAGATGTTTATTGTATATAAGACTATGAGTAAAGCCTGAACTAAAAATCTGATATGTTATCTTATTTAATCCTTATAAACAATTTTCTAAAGAAATGTTAACTAAGAAACTTTTAAGGCTGAAAGTTTTTCTAAAAGAAAAGGTTTATTGAGCCATTGGACTTTGTTGGGGAGGGGGTGGGGGGAAGGACCTGGCCCTGGGAGTGTGTAGCCTGAAACACCAGAGGCCAGGCCGGGCGGGACAGACAGACATGCCGCAGGCCTGGAGCTGACAGACCTTTCACACATCACTCTTGGAAAAGAAAGATGGAAGCTGTTTTGAAAGAGTTTATGACAGCTGCGGAGGAAGCCAGTGGGAGGAGGAAAAGTGAGGCTCGTTCTGGGAAAGGCTCACAGTCCATGAGGAGGAAGTGTTTCCCCTCTAAACTGGTTGTGGCAACAGCCTGGAAAGTTCATCCATAAGCACGATGCAGGGGTGCCTGCTGGTCGGCTGCTTGGCCATCCTCTTTAAATAATCAGGGAAATAGCCACTTGTAAATTGCTTCAAAGTTTCATCCTACATTCAGGAACATAAGCAGTCTTTTGTTCGGTTTGACCTGCATTTGTTAACTGATTAACCTCTCTTGTCTCTTCCTCCCTCCATCCAACCTGCTGACATTTAATTTAGGATGTCTCGGACTTTTTCTTGTCAGTATGACCTCTTATTATCCCCATTTTTCAGAAGAAACTGGCACCCAGTGAACACACCGAGTGCCTTTGTTTATAAGAGGCAGAGGTGAGATTTGAACCATGGTCATCCCCTTTCAATAACACGAGACAGTGAAGGACCCTCATGCCGCCCTCCCCAGTGTCTCCAAATCCATACACTACAGTGGAACCTTTTTAAAAGCATTTTAAAGGAAGCTCATTAGCACATTAAATATTCCTGATTACACTACCATTAACACTCCACATTAGCCTGTCGTTGATATTAATGCACCCTAAATATTATAGTGACAGGAGATTAGTTTCGGCTTGGACTTCAACTCTGCTGTAGCTGCCATTTTAATCTCCCCACTCCAGTCTGGCGACAAGTTTTCCTAGGCACCAAAGAGAGCTTTCTTTGTTTCTTCAGGGGGAGGAGGGAACACCCAGTAACTGGAGGACTCAAAGTGTCAGCCAAGGAGAGTGCAAATGCTGATCTGAGAGTACAGATCTTCTCCAGGTGCCGAAAGGCAAATGTTTTCCTTCTCTGGCTTCAGCTTAGGGCTTTGTGAACTACGTGGACATATTTGTCCTTGAGATTCGGTAACGCACCCAGGAAATCTCCTAACACCTTTCATTTAGTATTTTAAATGCTAGTAGAGAAAACTTCGTGTTAAAAATGATTCATTCCCATTACCTAGCGTTGCCAGTTTCTCAGTTTTGTAAATCTGAAGGGCTGTTGAAATGGAATTCACAGTATATCAAAAACTATCGGAACAGGACCAACTAGAATTAAACTTTCCCCTATGATTTTAGAGAGTTGACTGGTTTTTAAGAAGCACAACCAGTGAATTACATTTGACTCTTGAACTGTGTTGGTCCACTTACATGCAGAGTTTCAATAAATACTGTAAATGTATTTTTGTTTCTTATAATTTTTGAATAACATTTTCTTTAGCTTACTTTATTGTAAGAATTCAGTATAACAAATGTGTGTTATCTGACTGCAAATGTCATTGGTAAGGTTTCTAGTCAACAGAACACTATTAGTTAAGTGTTTTGGGGGGGTCAAAAGTTAAACAGAATTTTCAAATACTTGGGGGATGGTACCCCTAACTCCCATGTTGTTCAAAAAGCAACTGTAGTTTCATTTTTATTAATCTTTTCTTTCATAGAAAGAGAAGGGAAAGAAACAATGAGAGAAAGCAAATAAATTAGAACACTTGGAGAAAAGGAAAGACTACTTTTAAAGTTTGGTTTTGTTAAGAGAGAGAGAAAAGAATGACAGTGACTATCACCGTGGCAGTGGGACCCCAGCAGTGAAACCTTGTGTACCTGCCTTTCCATTCCAGTTATAGGAAAAACCCAACAGAAGTCTAGAATTAAAAAAAAAAAAAAAAAAAAAAAAAAAAAACCAGGACCAGAGCCCACCATGCCAACCACAAACCTCATCACACCCTGATTATAATACATTAGCTGACGGACTGACTGACACACTCACTGGCGCCATCACAGGTCTGTCTGGAAGTGTGTAAGGGAAGGAAAAAGGTGGCGCCCCAATTCTGGGGGGAGAATTGGGCCCATTCTTGAAAAACTAGTGTATGTGCCTCCCCTCATTATGTTGCCCCCATAATAATCTCCCCAAGACCTCTCTGGGAAGAGAAGGTGATTTGTGAGTGCAACTCCTGCTTCTCCACTGCCTGGTCTCTGGGCATTGAATGAAGCGTGTGCTGCTCACTGCTCAGCTTCCGTTTGGTTTATTGGCCCCATGACAACGAACAGAGTAAGAACCTCTGGAAGGACAGACGTTTCTTCCTGGGACCAGGTCCCCTCCCTGGGGGTCTGGACAACTAAGGTGGTAAGTAACATCACTGTTCACATTTCATTAAGGCAGAGTAGTAAAACCTGTGAAAATGGCAGGGATCTGCCACCAAATGATTCTTTGTGGTCTCAACAGCGAGCCAGCCAAGCAGCCTGACCCCTTCTCACGGGAAGTGTGCACTGCCTGCCACCAACAGGAAACCTTCCATTTTCAGGTACTCCGGGCAACTAGAAAATTATCCCTGATACCTCACCAAAATTTTTCTAGGTGTATTTCCGCCCATCATTCTTGGTCCCATCATTTAAAGGAACACTTCTGCAAGTACCCAAGATAAAGGCCAATTTTTTGCTTGTTCTTTTCCCAGTTGATCACAGACTATAGTGTCTGAGTGTGTAAAATACAAAACCACACGATTAAATACTATGGCAGTATCAAATCGCTCTAAGACTTTCTACACTTTGAAGCTCAGTTTCTGGATTTATGAGACGTGCAGCTTGTGGGGCAACCACAGCGCCCCCTGCACGCTGCACGCGGAGGAGCACACGGGTGGGCCTCCAACCTGGCTTGGCTCGGCTCCTCCAGAGGCCGCCCCTGAGGCGAGGATTCTAATGCAAAGTTTCCTATGGAAATGATTATTAAGGAATGGAATGGGAAAGTAAACAGAACAGGAAAGGAACAAAATGGGGGTTTTCAAGCCAGTGACCCCCGTGGGCCCTACTCCACGGGGAAATGCTGAAAGACAGGGTCAAATATAC